GCTTTGGTTTGTAAATCTTGGAATGGAAAAAAAAAAACAATAACAATTAATTCAAACAAAATATTATAATTATTGAGAATAGAGAGAAGGCGTGGCATATGTCACCCTGGAGAGGGCTCTCAAAGAACTTTCTAACGTAGAGAAGTGCCTTACCTTGGAGTTTACACGAGGAAACTTTTATCGCATGGTGAATAAGGTAATGAATGAAGGCATTTAGAGAAAAGTGTAGCCAGGACACTAACCATTAAGGTTGAAACGATTTACTCTTGGAGAACTGCAATGTGCAGTGATTTAACTAAGGGTAAGCGTGCATGGGCATAGGTTTGATTACAGCTTTAGCTTGATTGCTGTCTCAGCTTGGCTGCAGCTTTAACTTGATTGCTGCCTCAGTTTGGCCGCAGCTTTAGCTTGATTGCTGTCTCAGCTTGGCTGCAGCTTTAGCTTGATTGCTGTCTCAGCTTGGCTGCAGCTTTAACTTGATTGCTGTCTCAGTTTGGCTGCAGCCTTAGCTTGATTGCTGTCTCAGCTTGGCTGCACCTTTAGCTTGATTGCTGTCTCAGCTTGGCTGCAGCTTTAACTTGATTGCTGTCTCAGTTTGGCTGCAGCTTTAACTTGATTGCTGTTTCAGCTTGATTTCTGCTTTAGCTTGATTGCTGCTTTAGCTTGATTGCTGTCTCAGCTTGATTGCTGTTTCAGCTTGATTTCTGCTTTAGCTTGATTGCTGCTTTAGCTTGATTGCTGTCTCAGCTTGATTGCTGTTTCAGCTTGATTGCTGCTTTAGCTTGATTGCTGCTTAGCTTGATTTCTGCTTTAGCTTGATTTCTGCTTTAGCTTGATTGCTGCTTTAGCTCGATTTCAGCTTTAGCTTGATTAATGCTTTAGCTTGATTGCTGCTTTAGCTTGATTGCTGCTTTAGCTCAATTTCTGCTTTAGCTTGATTGCTGCTTTAGCTTGATTGCTGTCTCAGCTTGATTGCTGTTTCAGCTTGATTGCTGCTTTAGCTTGATTGCTGCTTAGCTTGATTTCTGCTTTAGCTTGATTTCTGCTTTAGCTTGATTGCTGCTTTAGCTCAATTTCTGCTTTAGCTTGATTGCTGCTTTAGCTTGATTGCTGCTTTAGCTCGATTTCTGTTTTAGCTTGATTGCTGCTTTAGCTTGATTTCTGCTTTAGCTTGATTGCTGCTTTAGCTTGATTGCTGTTTTAGCTCGATTTCTGCTTTAGCTTGATTGATGCTTTAGCTTGATTGCTGCTTTAGCTTGATTGCTGCTTTAGCTTCATTTCTGCTTTAGCTTGATTTCTGCTTTAGCTCGATTTCTGCTTTAGCTTGATTGCTGCTTTAGCTTGATTGCTGCTTTAGCTTGATTGCTGCTTTAGCTTGATTGCTGCTTTAGCTTCATTTCTGCTTTAGCTCGATTGCTGCTTTAGCTCGATTTCTGCTTTAGCTTGATTGCTGCTTTAGCTTGATTGCTGCTTTAGCTTGATTGCTGCTTAGCTTGATTGCTGCTTTAGCTTCATTTCTGCTTTAGCTTCATTTCTGCTTTAGCGTGATTGCCGCTTTAGCTTGATTGCTGCTTTACCTTGATTTCTGCTTTAGCTTGATTTCTGCTTTAGCTTGATTGCTGCTTTAGCTCGATTTCTGCTTTAGCTTGATGTCTGCTTTAGCTAGATTTCTGCTTTAGCTTGATTTCTGCTTTAGCTCGATTTCTGCTTTAGCTTGATTGCTGCTTTAGCTTGATTTCTGCTTTAGCTTGATTGCTGCTTTAGCTCGATTTCTGCTTTAGCTTGATTGCTGCTTTAGCTTCATTTATGCTTTAGCTTCATTTCTGCTTTAGCTTCATTTCTGCTTTAGCTTGATTACTGCTTTTGTAACGCACTGGACCTTTACTGCGGTATGTCTTAAAAGCACTATTTATGATACATACTTTTTATTGCTTTATACTTACACTTGATACGTAACGTAAAAAAATAATGAGCAAAAACGGTTAGTATTATTTGATGTACAGATGTGTTAGATGAAACATTAATCAGCTTTATGAAGGCATGTCTCCTTTACTAGGACAGTGATTCCCACGTGATGTGGTCAGGGGTCCAGCTGATGTGGACAGTGGATCTCTTCTGATGTGGACAGTGGTTCCCAGCTGATGCGGACAGTGGTTCCCAACCGACGTGGTGAAATAACATGTCAAAACACCCGTTTGACCGCAGGTGAAGTCGGAGTTGATTTGGCTTGAGTTAGGTTGAGAACCCCGACCGACATACCCTTTGTACCCTTGTAAGAACTGTTAGGGAAAAGGAATCAATATCTGGAAAACAACTCTTTGTTTGGATGCCGTTAGATTTTTTTTTTATTTTGCCCACATCACTTTCATGTTCAATAACGTACTGTTCTACTATAATTTAGAGGGCCCCGTGGAAGTCGTTTTAGATGCACTGAACTTGTTTTGTTTTTTTTTGTATAAAGAGAAAAAATGGTCAAAGACGGTGAAAGAAACCTTTTGTAAGAACTACTCACGCGTTTCTATCGACTTCAACATCTGGCTCCTACAATTGTCAAAGAACAATTACAGTTGGGATATTTTATGACAGGGAAAGAATGGCTGTCGGTGTTAGTCAAAGAGTCATTTATGGGGATACAGGAGAGAGGATTTCTACTTTCCTGTGCTTAGAGCAGTAAGTCTCACAGTGGGCGATGGGATGACCAAGAGGGTACAAATAGACATGGAAGGGGGTAAGTAGGATTTGGAAGGGGGGGGGGGGTGGCTTGACTCAGTGGGGGGGCTAGGACTGGTGCCGCCGGGGGAAGGCGGCGTAATTTTGCCCCCGCCTTCTTCGAAAAAAAAAAAAAAACCTCTTCAGTTCATGGGAAATGGCGCCCAAATTTTTTTGTTTAAAAAGTGGCGCCCAGCCACTCCGCACCCCGATTCTTACGCAACTATGGCTTGGATTTCAACAGGAGGCATGCCTACACAAATGAAAGCATATGGACGTAGTTTCTTCAAAGTCGTCTATCTTCCATCTGCTTAGCTCAAAATATGTGTGCCACGATACCAACAGTTAAAAGGCATTTCATGTCGCTAGATTAAATTGTGCAAATATTTAAAATATTTTTTTTAAAACTTTTTTTTTTTTTTATTTTTTTTTTTTTTTTTTTTTTTTAAATTAAAAAAAA